TACTACTACATAAAACTCCTCTAATGGCAGTGATGCCAAAGAGCTTAGCATTTTTTTTTTATTTGGGAGTGATGCCAAACATCGTAACAATCGGCCATCTTGGCAGTTAGCGTCCAAATTTATTTGCGCCCAAGTAACCATATCGATTTTGCGGACTACAGCACACTATCCTTCTCCTCCTCCTCCTCCTCCTCCTCCTCCTCCTCCTCCTCTAGAGTCCGGATAAGATAAATTCAAACGTGGGAAATTATCTTCTTGGGAAATCAAACACAGAGTCTAACATGGGAACCAATTTGTTCAATTAAATTCGTTATTCAACCTCCCCATTTCTGCCATGGGTAAATAGATAAAGGGATATTTTACTCTTTCTTGTTAGTTGAAAATTACTTGTTATCTGTCTCTATCTTCCTACTGTAGCTGGTTAGATGATCCCCCTACTTGCTATGATGTCTTCCTCCGTTTCTGAGGCTTCTCATTCATTTCACTTTCTCTTGTTTAGAGTTTACTTCATATTTCCTTTTGGTAAAGAAAGTGTACAAAGGATCTCGACAGATGAACAATCCCTTTAAGGTTTGGATCGCTCTGCAGAAATTGCATGCCTAATTAGTCTAACATGACGTTTGAGAAAAAAAAAATTAGTCTAACATGAAACTTGGCCATCTCAAAAATGAAAGTCGGACATTAAATATTGCAGTTTATGTTACCTGTAACAGAACAGAAACTAAGAGCTTATTTTGGGGGGATATCTGCGTGGGGTCATGATCTCTCCTTCCTTTAGACGGCCAATTAAATTTGGTTGGCGGAATGCCAGTGAGCAAGCACATCAAGAAGCAAGTGTTTTTTTATTTCCAGTGTGACATTGATATATGTTTTAACCAAAAAGAACAAACTTGAAAATGATGCATAATGGGTCCATCAGACTGAAGATAACGACTTCATCGTTTGTATTTCTCTTTGAAGTGAACGACCGAGTCAATATGATGGGGTGGAATCAGAACAATGTCATTACTTTATCAAGTTTTTCTATTTGGTCTAGGGAAAGCATTTGCTGCCTCTACATTAATTGGACTTTTACATGGTAGATGACAATTTCTCCATCCACAAAGTCTCAGTTTAACAATTAACAGTACTGAATCCATCATTTGCTTCTACAGTTTTATACATGTACAGCTTTCTGTCTCTTGAGCCAAGTTTACATTTTTCTTGAAAGGGGCTTGAAAAAACAAAGAAGAAAATATGTTGATTGAAAATCATGCATGGACTATTGAAATAAGAGAACGAGTAAATGTGTTTCACTCTGAAAGACGGAACAAAATGACTCCAAATGCAAACATCAGAGACCGAGTTTGCAGCTCTTCATACTAGCGTGCCCACTCAATGGCCAACTGGAGCAGGCCCTTCAGCTTTTCTCCTAATAAAATAAAAGGATAAATCCCCAATTCCAAACTTCAAAACACTCTAGGATTTTGGTTATCTTGCTGATCATTAATTATAGCTGACTGACTGCCTTCTTCTTCCTTCAGGTTTGAAGACGCTGCTTAACATCAACACGAGAATTCTGGAACAATAGATAAGCCAATGGCCCCAGGAAGGTTGGCTTTTTTTAGCTCACAGAACATGACATAACAAGGGATGTTAGCTAGAGAATCTTGCATTTGAGGGTGTGTCAAAATATCGGATTACATCCAAAAGAAGATTATTATAAATGCTTAAACATAAAAAAAAAAAAAAAAAAAAAAGAACCCACTTTACAAGTTCCTCAATTATTGCCGCCTCCAAAGATGCAATGTCCAGCCACATGTCCGTGGCATTCTTGTGATCTAATAGAATGTGCAGTGAACGTGGAGATGCCAAACTCATATAATATAACTAAGAATACACACTTCACATTCTTTTAATCTCCTCGTTAGTTACCCTATCCTTTTAAGAACCAACCCACATGCGCTGAGATAAGCTTGCTTGATCTTTTTCAAGAAATCCTCTCAAACTTTTAAGATATCAACCTATAATCCTAACAAGTAATTATACGTAAGTTGCAAGACCCGATACTCTGTTCTCCACATTCTAAATTTGCCTCTTTTGTACAATTGGCGTATTGTTACTCCCAGAAAATGTAGAACAACTCTTAGATACTCTTCTTTATGCATTTGTAATTGTGTGGCGTTGCAGGAGCCGCATGGCCAAATACTATTTGACCAAATCCGTAAGTGGGTAACTAGTTACAGGAAAATGTGACCATTGAGAAAAAAAATCCTTTTTGGATGAATTGTCAATATAGAGTTCTAGATGTATATGATGTCTCGTTCTTGATTGCTTTAAATTTTACAAAATCTGAATATAAAAACTGATTATAGAGAATAATTAAAAAAACTGATTATAGAGAAAATAGAGAATCAGTAAAAGTTACTCTTTGAGTGATTAGGCTCCGTTTGGATTAATTGTTTTTTAAGGTATTTTTAAAATATTTTACTATAACAGTATATATGAAAAAATTTTATTGTATATGTTTTTGAAAGAATTTTTGGAATATATTTTAGAGTATTTTTTAAAATTAAAAAAATTTTTAGTACCCTTTTTAAAAATTAACACTACCACCACCCCCACCCATCGTAGCCACCACTCCCTCTCTCCTCATTTTTAAACGGTGAGTAGGGTTGGTAGTGGATGGTGATAATAAATGGAAGATATTGTAGAATTTAATTGTTTTTGTATATCTGTGAGTTATTTTTTATATATTGTATGGATGAGGCGTTTTGGAGTTATTTTATTCATGTATTACTGTAGTATTGTATTTGAAAAACAGGTGAATCCAAATAAAACCTATGGATAGATTTTAACTTTTTTTATCATTAAAAAATTCTATAATTATAATACAAAAGAAAATTAGAATACAAAAGCAATTGAAAACATCACAAATAATTATCCGAAATCAGAATTGATAATCAGTTAAAATAAGCAATCGAAAAAATCCCAATACTAATATATATGTACAGAAAATCAGAATTTATAATTAGTTAAAATAATCAATCCAAAAAAAAAAACAAACCCGATATAAATATGCACAGAATGCGAAGAGAGAGATGTATTGTGCAAGAGAGCAATTGATGAGGAGGGAGTTCCGCCTTCGAGTCTTTTGCGACAACGGCGGACAAGCGTGAGAGCAACGACTAAGAGACAAAACAAACCATCTTTTATTATTCTGTTTCCACATACAATTGCTGATGATTGTGCCACCCCCACCCGTGGGAAAAAAATCTCTTACCCATCTCATCGTAAATTGATTTTAAAAAGATTAGCGAAAAGATCTTCCAGTGTTTACCATGAGTTGAAAAGTAAGGGAAAAAGTTGCCCCTCCAAGAGTAATTCCACGGCCAACATGGGAGCTGGGCAGCAGCAACTACATTTTTCACAGAATTGAAGAAAACTTTGAGCATTGACAATTTCACTGAGCAGACACAAAGTAAAAAGTAACAAAAAGGGGTAAAAGTCATATGAGTGGAAAAAGCCTAGTGATGTTGGACAAGAAGGGCTAAGAAGTCAGATGCTGGAATGATGCCAAAAGATCGCATATCCCCACGCAGATATATAACATCAAAGTTCTTGTAATTGACAGTAACAGAAGAATTATGTATGATGTATGCGCAATTGCGCATCCATTTCTTAATTTTCACAAGAAAAAACAAATTAAAAAGCATAATACATTTCTTGAATGATGGTTATGTTGCAATTTGCGCAATCACGACCATGCAAGTTCCCATCAGATTTTGACTTCCTCGCCAAAGTTATTAGAAAATGCGCAAAGCATACGAATGATCCTTTGAAGCAATGGAACTGGACCGACCGGTCCCTACCCTCTCGAAGTGGGTTGATATTACTAGTGCCCATCAAGACTACATAGGTTAAGGGGAGAGTGGTGACGCAGAATTGACTAGTCTCTGGCCCTGAATCCTGATGATGATATATGTATGTATTTCTCCATCAGCACACCTTTTCTGCTACCCATTTTCGGTTTTTCAGCAAACCCACGATGACGCTATGTGGGTTGGGATCGAAGAAGATGCTGTAGACAGACACCATTCTTTACCCATATTTGCGTCCAAATTGACTATTGAGAAGAGAGAGAGAGAGGTGTGTAGTTGACTTTATAGGTCTTTGAATTTACATTTAATTCGTTCAAACAAGACGTTCACAAGAAGTGATGGAGCACTAAAAGCTTTTGCAAGTCAGTCTTGCTTGCACACACTCAGGCATGCCTACAAGTCAAAGCTCAAATAATGAAAAAACTCTCAATTATTACTTGCTTTTGTGTTTTAGTAAGTGTGGACACAATCCAGCAGCTTATCTAGTGTGTCAGCAGCACAATTGAATCAATTTTCGAGCGTGCCAAGTTCAAAGAAAATAATTGCTCTACATGTAATGTATGGGAACCATCTTCAACTTCCAACTCCGTTACTTCAAGGGTGGGTGAATTTGAAACTGGGGGATTACAGGGGCCAGCAAAGTATTGACAGATAATTTTCATTTTTCTTTTTTTTCCCTCTTCCCCTTTCTTTCCCAGGTCACAGAAATTGCTACGCGTAGCTGGGCCGCTGAAACTTTATACTAGCTCCCTTTAATGCTTTGGGCTTGTACTTGTGATTTAATCATCGTTTGGACCTGCTAGAAAGGCTTATTAAAATGCACTGGGTAGTATATGCATGACGGCCCAGGCCTCAACATTTGCTGTGATCGAACAAAGAGATTGGCTTGGGGGTGAGGTGAGATTGATTCATGAATAGATTAGGCTATAAAACATACCATGCGTTTCTCCATAAGATTAATTTTTCAGGCATCAAGAGTGGTATTGTAAGAGTATTATTAACTTCTTCCAATGTCCGATTAGAAAAAAAATCTAAAGCAAATGGTGCTGCCAAATAAAAGGACTACAAGATCGTATCACTATGAACCTAAAAGAAAAGAAAAAAAAAGAGCTTGTTGTGGGGTGGGGTGGGGGGGGGGGGGAAGAAGATAGATGATTGTAGATTATATAGCAACGCAGATGTACACTCCCACCTACTAAATCTTGTAGCAACAAAACAAACATTTCGATGGCTGTCACCTCTTCTCTACCCTCTTAACATTCTCCCTAGCTCCAATAACTGGATACATTTTCTGATTGGAACTCATCAATGGAATACCAGTTCAAGAAAATTATGAAGCAGATGAAGCGCCTTCCTTGGCTTGAGTAACAAATGTACCCACCGATTTAAACCAACGCATAAGGTTCCGGTGGTCCTTCACATATAGCCAGGCTTGTAAAAATGGAAAGAGGCTCTCATTAATCCCACGCTCTTCAATGTAGCCGTGGAGCGCATCTCTCATTTTCTCATCTAGATGCCTAATTATCATCAGTAAAGAATTTTGTCATTGCCCAAAAGCACTGCATAATCAAATTAAACCCCCAACACCAAAATTAAAAAAAAAAAAAAACAGATGTAAAAATTGTACATCAAATTTCATTGAAGCTACTCAGCTAAAATTGACACCATTGATATCCTAGTCAACCACTTTGCTTGTCCTTTGTGAGATATAGAGAGAGAGAGAGAGAGAGAGAGAGAGCAATTCTTCAGGAAACTTCATCTATAAATATTTTCACCCGGATTAAAACTAGAGGCATTCAGTAGGCAGTATTCAGTGTAAACTTTATCCAATTCATATTCGAGTACCTAATTAATATTCAAGAAATTTTACTTGCAATGGCCCCAAGTAAAAGTCAGCAGGCTAATAATTACCCACCAGTTCACCTAAATGTAAACTGATCATTTATGTTGCATCAAAAACACAATTCAACCTGGGTAATTACAAAGCCGAAAGAGGGGCTTATCAAGAAAGAAAATTGTAAACTCATCATCTCCAACAGACCCAACACATGGAAACCTTATGAGGATTTCCTTTCTACTGTTCTTGCAGTCTCTTGGTCGATTAAAAAACTAGAAACAGAAATGAGACATAAGCATGCAATATAACACCCTCAACCAAAGATTTACGTGACATTGCGTCAATTAATCTAAATGCCATCACATTCCGGCCATGTATTACATTTTCAGGTTTGAACTAAGATGCTTTGCATACGAACACTTGCTTAGCGAAGAAAGTGCATGGATTAAGAAATGTTGCTGCAGTCTTGGATACTAATTTTAACCAGTGATGTAAACCTTAAACTATTTGTCTCAAGAAACATAAGAATTATCATTTTAGCCCTTATTTACCAAAACAAGGGAATAATGGAACACTGTGACTGAAACAGGAACTCCATCTTTTTTTGCATAATGTGTCCACTTTAAAATGCTAAAATAGTCAGCAAAAAAGAATGAAAAGCAGACTCAATCAGCAGCTGTAAAGCAAACTCAATAAGCAGCCTAGAGCAACTTACTCAAAAGTGGGGCCGTTGTATCTACGAAGAAGTACAGGCAGGGCTGCAGCCTCTGAGGATTCCATCTTTGACCTCATCGAAACTGAGTGAATTCCTAAAGCATCTGGATACAACCCACAAAGGAAATGAAGAGAATCGTGCTGCCCTGGTTTTGAAATTTCAACATGAACGAACAACTGATTCATGCCATCATCCTCCTCGTCATCATCTTCACCCCCTCCAGGAATTATGTTAGCCAAGCGCATCACAGAAATACCAATTTCTTCTTCACCGTAGGACCGTTTTAGAACGGCACCGCCACTGTCAATTGATCCTTTCACAACCGTGAATGGAGAAGGAGGGCTAACTTTCTGCCAAGCATGGAATTCCTTTAGATGAAGACCAAAAGAAATAGAGACATTCCAACCGTACATCTAGAGGCATGACAATGTAAATTATGGTTCCTTACTCTATTAAATCAACCTAGTCTTACCAACAGTCAGAAACGCCCCAATACCTAACTCCTAGGTAGATATGTAGTTGAAATGCATTCAAAGGCTAGTATTATCAACCAGGTTCCTCAAAAAGACAGTAACACAAAGGTTTTTTTTTCCCCCTTTTTGGGTGAAACAGGTGGTTATTGTTTGCCGTACACTGGCAGCTATCCACCCAACTTTGCAGCTATATCAGCTGTAAAAAGAATCCTACCCACCAATTCATTCAGAAAGTTCGAAAACACCCTAGTGCATTCAAAGTTTTTGTAGAGTCTCAGTAAATGAAATTTTGCATAACTTAAAATGCTGAAAGGAGGCACTTTTCTTTTAAGCACTAAATTTAACTGGACTCCTTCTGTTTGTACCGCACGGCACACAACAGAAGCTAGCTGCCTTCCACTGCCCTCATTCCTTGACTGTCCCTTCTTTCCTTAACTGTCTCTTCTTTCAAACCATGATATACGAATGCATAAAAGTTACAAATAACAGAAGAAAAATTAGTAAAATGCCTATACTCCAAATGATGCTTCATTTTACAAAAATGCAGGCACACTTACCAATTCCAAACAGTAAAAGGATCCAAAATTTCATCATAGACCAGAATAACCTTTCCTTTCATAATTAATTCACTTATAGATTTAGGGAGAGAGTAATTCCAACACTGCAATCCCCACCACTACCACCCCAGAAAAAGAAGAAGAAAAAAAGAAGAGAAAAAGGTGAACATCCTAAAACCACGGACTAAAGAAACCCTAAAGAAGAAAATAAAACTATAATTAATTTAACAAGTTAAACAATCCAAGAATCTACTTTCTATCAAATTCAAAAAGATAGAAAGAGAGAGAAGTAGTGTGGAGGTGATTACTGGAGGAGGGGTCATTTTGGAGACTTCAAGGTAATGATCTTTGAGGGAACGGAGAAGGATGGAGTTGACGGCGACGGATGAGGAGGTGGCTTTCGAACTCGACGACAGCCGGGCAGCAATCGTCCGCCACCATGGCTGTTTTAGCAGAACCCCTCCGGCATAAGATACCAGAGCTTTTCGCCACATTTCCTTCGAACTTGTTTGGTTTCCTTCAAACCCTGTTGTGTTTTTACTTCCCGTATGATAAACCCTGCTCTCAAATTTTGGAGGGTTTTGGAGTTTCGATTTGTCATTTGTGCGCCAGTGAGGCCGAGAGCTTTTTATCTCGGGGAACAATCTTAAAATTTCCACCCCTTAAGTTACTGGAAATTGAAATCGGGTACGGACTGAATAAGGAATGTACAATACATGGCGTGGTGTTTTTTTTTTTTTAAATCTTTTTTAGTTTAATCTATTTAAAATTGGTTACTAGATTTTTCTCATATCACTAAAACATATTTAACAAAATTTTGAACAAAAAAAAAAAAATTAATGCTACACTTGTCATTCTTTAACTGACAATCTTAAAATAATTAGAATTCATTTTCGTATACTAATAATCTTACAATAACGGAATTTATATTCTTACAAAATAGAAAATTTATCCAAGGGTCCAACATTTGCTTTGAACAAATTTTAATAGGCAAACTTGGTATTTTACTTTGAATCTACATGTGTTTCATTACTAATAGTTCTTATTTAAGGATAAGAGTAGAAACATGTCTGTACAGTAGGAATATCTATTACTCTTCTATTTACTCTTTATTCTGTCACCATCAACCTGTAGGAGGCAATGCAGGTAGATCTCTTTACCGGGGGCATGTACCGGGATCAAGAGTTGATAAGAGAATATAAAGCTAATAAAGAGGCTGGATGTCAACCCCATGACATGAGCAAGACATGGAAATGTGCAAGAGAGTAAAAGATTAGCAAATTGCTTATCAAGATAAAATGGTGATGATCAATGTGCAAGAAATCATGATAACTGGCATCAAGACGTTAGCTATCATGATTTCCCCCAAGTATTTGTTTCTTTGATTGTGTGATGCTCAACTCAATTGTTATTGCAGAGAATTAAGCATTCTTTGCCAGAACACGTGGTATAACTAATCACTCACTCACCAGAAATAATCCCCAAGATTATGCTGGACCCACACCCGGTCATACGCATCCAGCTGAATACCCACACCCGGTCAGCTCAACAATTTCCTCCTCTGGGGGAGACATAGTAGTAGTACTGTAGTGGAGGACGCATCCCATTCAGATGTAAATCTATTTTTACATGCATTTTGTTGGTTCCGAGATGAAATCTACCCCACATCCAGATGTAACATGTTTAGGAATAGAAAGAGTGGGCTCCTGCTCTTTAAGCAAACATCGGTCTTCTTCACGTACTTTCTCAACTGTGCGCCGCCCTAGGAATTACACACTTTTTTATGGTTATTCCACTTCCAAATATATTACTCTCTCGATCGTTAATTTTGTCTTCTTCGAGCACTGACCAGCCCTCCCACACATTCCGGTCCCCTGCTGAAAAAAATACAAATTAAAAAACTCAACAGAATACAGACCGACTTTTCAACATTAACACCTTTTTAAAGGTTTGCCGGGAGCAAGAATTAAACACTAGATGACAAACAGAAACAAATCAAGACAAACGGAGGAGGAAATCACCATGATGACAACCTGCATAGGCTCTAGGATATCGAAATTCATTTTTTTATGTTACAAAATCGTACACCAATCAAGGCCTACAGCACCATTTCATGACCTGAGACCATGAAGTATTTGTCCTATAACGCATACATTACAACCTTCTTTGGGCTCATTCATTACACGCATCCAAAATTGCGACATTAATCAAGACATTTAATGCCTTATGAAATTTGACAGTCAAAAGATGCGAAAAGAAAAATACATAAAACAATGGCATCCATGTATTGACTCCCACAGTCTATTTTGAAGCATCACTTCTTTCGATGTCTGCTTCTGCTAACTTTCACAATCTTCCTACCAGACTTGTCGGCACCAACGCCGCCACTGCCAAGAGAAAAGCTTCCTCCAGCATTGAACTCCGCACTTCCTGATGCTTGGAAAGGAGAAGGGTTCTGCTGAGCCGCTTGACTCGGTTGCCCACCAAACTGAAATGGAGCAGTCTGTGATGCAACTGTTGATCCAAAAACAAAGCCACCAGGGGAAGGCGAAATAGCCTGTTGACCAAAAGCAGGAAGTGCTGGCATCGATGGAAGTGCTGGCATCGATGACTGCACAGGATCCTCAGCCATGCTGTCTTCTGTGTTCATCTGGTCATTATTTCCTGCGGGAGCTGTAAAGGCAGTAGTAGAGTTACCAAAAGTTGGTGCTGCGTTAAACACAGATGGCGAAGACGTGGTTGTAGAAGAGGCTGTATTGAAGGAGAAAGATCCAGGTGAGGCACCAGTGGATGCCCCAAATGCAATGGACGCAGAGCTACTACTACCAAAGGGAGATGAGCCCACTCCAAAGGAGAAACCAGTTGAAGGAGATGAACTGAATGTGGAACCCAAGGGGGAAGAAGACTTTGAAGCTTGCCAACTGGAACCAAAAATGCTAGCAGCAGCACTGCTAGAGCTAGCAGGATTACTTTCAGAAGAGGAAGAAAAATTGCTGACACCAAATATACTAGAGCCACCACCAGAACTGGAGCTAACCATGTTACTGCTACCAAAATTAAAGATGGGAGTAGCACCACTGCTAGAGCTACTTGCATTTGCAGATGAAGAGGTAGCCAAAGAACTTGTACCAAAACTGAATGCAGCAGGCGCACCACCACCACCATTTGAGCTGATTGCATTGGTTATTGATGAAGAAGATGGAGCATTGATCCCCAAAGTAAAGATGCTAGAAGTTGCACCATTTCCTGCGCTGACTGACTTGGTCTCCGCCGAGGAGGCTGAAGTGCTAAGACCATAACCAGTACCTGCGCCAAACAATGGGGTAGATGTTGTTGAAGAACTAGATAGAGTATTGCCGGAGGTAAAAGATGTAACTTCAGAAGTTCCAAGAACTGAAGGTGATGCAGAGGAACCAAACTGATTAGGCATGCCGGTGCTGGGAAAAGAACCCTGAGACTGGCTGTTAGCGATAGAAGATACAATTGTAGAAGTCAAGCCAAAAATGTTACTTCCAGTTGCTACCGAGGCAAAGGAAGAATTGCCAGAAAGTAAATCACTTGCGCTGCCAGAAATTGCTTCTTTTTCTGTTCTTATATTCATAACTGATGTTTCTGCACTAGACGCTGAAGTTGCTGAAGATAATGGTTCAGTAGAGTCCCCAAATTTGAAGATAGGCATCACCGGAGATGAAGGAACTGCAGTAGACAAAACAGGGCTACTACTTGAGGCAGCAGAGGTTGATGCTGTAGCTGCACAACTTAGAGTACTAGGGGAAGAAATAAGACTGCTGGTACTATTGCTAAATTGACTTGCAAAGCAAGTGGAAGCTGGAGCAGGTGGGAATGAGAAGGGAGAAGAGTTTATGGCCAAAGGCCCATTATTTGAACTCATTGGAACAATTGATGATATGCCTCCAGATGCTGTTGAGCTCAATGCAACAGAATGCGTATTAGCCATTCTCCCATTTGATATAACAGCCTCAGGAGAATTAATGTCATTGGCTTTCCCAGACCCAAGAGTTCCAAAAGAAGCACTAGTCACACCAGTGCCAGTGGCAGCACCATCCGAACTGTAACAAGGACCACAATTTAAATATGCTCAAGAAACATAATTTGAAAGGGGAAACAATCCAGCTGAGAAAAAACTGCCCAGTGTGACAGAGGCTAGTTGTACACACTTTAAACAGAAATAGAGATCTAGCTTTTTTAACACTTCAAACTGAGGATAGATAACTGTTATAATGACATGTTATTTGAATTTTACCTTCCATTAGCAGCTGCAATAAGAGAGCAACAATCATCTAATGTAACGTGCCAAGAAAAGATTTTCCTTGCATAAAATTTTTGTACTAGCACAAGTAAATATAAGAAACTATTTATGCAGGGAGAGGGAACACCAAGAAAACCAAATTTAAAAAAAAAAAAAAGTTCAGGATAGCATGCCGCAAACTTGATTACCCAAAAAAAATTAAAAAAGAAAATCTAAACACATTAGAGTCTGCAAAAATCTAAACACATTAGAGTCTGCAATGCCCAAGTTTGTGCTAAACACATGGCCATCAGCTGGAACTTCTATCCTCTTCAAATTTTTTCCCTCCATATTTGACCATTTCAAATTAAAAAAAAATGCACACACACATGGCATCAGGTTTGAATAGCATGAAGTTTCACTTGCACTTTAAACCAAAATATAGTCTTTACCGTGTGTAAAAAGCAGTTTCAGTTTTCAGTGCATTAACACATAAACTCCAATATGCACTTCTGAGTCAGTTAAAGTACTTGTGTAGCTTCACTTTTGCAGAGCAATTCAAAATCACAAGCAGAGACTGACCTAATTGAAATTTCTGCTTTTTGATTGGTCCAAGGGAATGCTTTTGGGCCCGAAATTTCAGTAACTAACGAGGAAGAACTCTGGAATGTTGTAACTTCGTGAATTCCTTGCTTTGGGTTCTCCGATCCCAAGGGTGATGGAGGAGTAACTAGCTGGGAAGTTGTTCCAGATGCAATTGAATTAGGCATGGTGAAACCAGTTTTTTCTTTACCAACATCCACAGCATTGCCAATTTCCAAGTCACTTCTTTTACCAGATATAAGTTCTGGAGATGTCCTTATTTCAGGCAAAGCTGCAGCGTTCTCTGGTGCCAGTTTTTCAGCAGTAGATGAACTTTTATTTGTAGCAGATGTTTCTTGATTTTCTCTCCCTTCACGCAAAGGTTCAGATGCAGGTCTTAAGTTTATGTCATCCTCCAACTCCAGGGAATCCTGCAAGATACAATCCCATAATCAGGCGCAAAAGAATAAGAAGTATATTTAAAGTCCAACACATGATGTTGGGGATATAAAAGGTTGGCCATCGAGCAAAACAAAAACTTACTGAAGAAGCTATTCGTTTTCTACTTTATTTTTTCTGAAAAGACTGAAGATACTATTCATTCAACAAAAGTTACAACCAAACCAACCAACCTCATGAGCACTCATCATAAAAGCCCGTTTCTTTTGAGGACGGTGAACTACAGATTTTGCAACTGAATCAGATGTTTCAACAGTAGACAAAACACCTTTTACTGAAGCTGTGATATGGCTGTTCTCTACAGGAGTTGGCAAGTCATGTTGAGAATCTAATTTTTCAGAGCCATTTACT